CACAAGCAAGCTGGGTGGGCCTGCTTGTGTGGGCTTACAGTCTGGTGTCAGCAAGAACAAGCTTGCAGCACAGACTTTGCCTGGCGAGTACACCTCGGCAAGGTCTGTCTGTCTGTCTGTTACACCCATAAGGAGCAAATGAATTCTACAGGCCCAGCTGTGGTGCTGCAGCTGGAAAAGGTGAAGGCACCATACACAAGTTTAAACGGAGAGAGAGATGGGAGGGGTGGGGTGCAGACAGAGCAGGGGGGGAGAGGAGTCTGAAGGAACCACATGTGCAAGTGCATATCCTGTTGCCGAAGGCATGCGCTGAGTGCAGCCGGCGCCGCTGCCCCTCTGCTCACGCGGCCTGTCCTTGCGGGTTGCCTGTAACACATCTGACCCCTGTCCCGATTGACTTTGCAGTTGGCTGCTTCAGAAAAAAAGGTCAATGAATGCCAGGTATGGTATGTGTGGAAGACCACAATGCCTCTGCCATTGGCCTCCGCCTGCACCTGTGCTGTACTGTTGGGCTTAGCTGGCCCGTTGCCAGTGGGCTGACATGATTATCATTGTTCCTAGACTGCAGAGTTCGCTGGACTATTGCCGTACAAATGATTGGGATTGCGGCACCACTGTAGAAACCACTGCGGACTGAAATGAAGCCACTGTCAGCCATTTGTGGCATGCAAACCGTATTGAATATGATACAACGATTGCCAACCTCTTACAGCTCCTCGAGGCATGTGGCACCGCGCCGGCACTTGCATATTGCTTGCCCCGTGGCAGCCACCGCACCCCCATGCGCGACCCCACCCTGCATGCCATGACTGCTTTTGCTGCTTTTTGTTACAATCTGCATATCCGCAAATGAACGTGCAACACAGAACCCCATCGCCGGGATCAAGGGATTCTAGGGTTCATCTGGTGTGGGGGGGAGAGGGTGTCGAGCCACAGTCGCTTGCATGCCGCAGCAACTGGCGAGGTGGGGGGCAGCTGCAGGCTGTTGGAAGAAGGTGTGCAGGCTTGTGTGTGTGGCATCAAACATATCAGAGAAGCAATGTCGGACATTGCCATACAGGCAAGATAATGCGTGTGGTATGCTCAATGTCATTTATGCAGTGCGGGCAGCGCCGTTGTTCGCGTGGCAGGCCCAGCCACCGGCCGGTCTCTTCTGTGCCTCAATGAGAACAAGAGCACAGCTGCACCAGCGCCTCGCGCCGGGCAGCATTCACGCACCGCATGGATGTAGGGGGCTCACGTGGATAGGCTGCCGGCTTCGCGAGCGGCAGCTGATAACAGCTGCTCCAGCTGGCGTTGCCGCCTGCATTCCGCAGTGCTGCCATGCCGATAGGCTGCGGCTCATCCAGGTTCAGCTGCATCCCGACTGCTTCCATGCCCGTCGCGGAGCTGCTGAACTTACGGCTGCCGTGCTGCGGACCTGCTGCCCGGTTCTGTGGCCAGCGTGATGCTGGCATGCAGTGCTTGGCTGAGCAGGCTGGCGGCAGTGCTGCTAGGCTGCGGTTCCACAGCCCCGCTGCTCGCTGCGCACCTTCTCTGTGTCGTGGCTACCGCCGCCGCTGAGCTGCATGGCTTTGGTTTCATCGGCGCTGACTGTCAGCCCCCACTGCTGGCAGTACTGCTGCCGCATGTCCAGTTGGGCGCTGCACGCCCGCTACTGAGGTGGCCAGCAGGAGCATAGCATCCGCATGCAGCAGCGGCGGCAGCAGGCTGCTGCTGCCCAAGAAGCTGGGCAGGCCTAGCTGCTCGCCGCCTGCGCCGCTGCTAGCACCGCTGCCTCAAAAGGCATCCATTGAGAGGCCAAACAGGGTGAGGCTAAGGGGGCATCCCTGCTTCAGGCCGATGGTGGCCTGAAAGCAAGGCGAGAGGCCGGCCGCTGTGCGCACCGATATGGGGACGTTGGCATAGAGCGCGTGCACAGCCCGCAGCCAGGCACCGTAGAGGCTGCATGTTGCAAGCTTGGTCCAGACTCGGTCCCGGGGCACCGTATCATAGGCCTTCCTAAAGTCCACAAAACAGGTCCAGATCCGCTGCCCTCGCTGGCGGTGCTGGTCCTGGAGAGTGCCCAGCACAAATGCTGCCTGCTCAGTGCTGCGCTTGCGCTAGAACCCCAACTGGCCTGATACCCTGCTACCGCTGGCCTCCTCTGAATCAGAGATGCGCTGCTCCAAAATGGCTGCAATCAATTTTGCTGGCAGGGCGCCAACAGCGATGCCGTACATGCCGTCGCAGGTGCCGGGTGCTGCTTTGAGGAGCAGGCCATGGGGTAAGGCCGCCGTCCACTGCCTTGCGCCGCTTGATGCTCTTGATGTATGCTGCTGTCGCTTCTGGTGGGAAGGGCGCATGCAGAGCTGCTTGCAGGGCTGCCAGGAAGGGCTGTGGCTGGTTGCTGCGGTCCGCGCTGCAGTTAGCTGCTGGCTGTTGCTGTGGGGGTGGCTCTGGTGGTGGCCGCTGTGCCGGCGGGGGTTCTGGCGGTGGCGGAGTAGACGGCGGAGTTACCATCGTTGCGTGAGCTGCACAGGTTGCTCAGGCTGGAGAGACAATTCCTGCAGGCATGGGCAGGCGCAGGCGCAGGCACGTGTGGGGCAGGCTGTGGGCTGGCACGGCTATGCAGGAACTGTTGAAGGGGCGCTGCCCTGTTCATGTGTGGGGAAGCGCGTGTGGAAGGCCGAGGCCCCAGGACGCTGGGACGTTACCAGGAGGGTACCAGGGCCAGGATGCGGCAGACGTGCAGCGGGTGTGACAGCAGAGGAGGCGGCGGCGCAGGCTGACCTGGCCAGAAAGGGCGGGCTCAGCCCCTGCTCAGATGTCTCGTGGTACGGCGGGGACGCGTTGCGCTGAGGTGGTGCGGTGCACAGCCTGCGGCGGGTGGGCATGGGCAAGGGCGGCCGGCGGCGGGGGGTGAGAGTGTTGGGGAGTGGGGACGCATGCAGCTCGGCTGCGAGACGCTGCGCCCCGCGGCTGTGTGGCAGCAACGGCTGCCAGCTGACAAGCACCTCACGCCGCCGGAGGCGCTGCAGCATCCCAAGCGACAGCTACTCTTTCCCCGGCGTTGCCGTGAACCCCCTGCATGCCTGCCAAGCACCCGAGCGCCAGGCGCAGAGGCGGCTGCGGCCCCAGCCAGAGGGCCAGGAAAATGCCCAGCCCCCGCCACATCAGGCCCGAGGCTGAGCCGCTGGCAGGTCTCGGAGCGCAGGCGGTCGTGCTCCGCCACCTCCTGCGGCCGCCCGGTGGCGAGGGCAGAGGCAGGGCTGGCTGCGCGGCACGGCGCCGGGCGCTGCGGTCCAGCAGCGGCCAGCGGAGGGGGCCGCCTGTGGCGGCGGCGCAGCAGGGCGGCGGCGGCGGCGGCGGCGGGCGCTGGGGCGCGGACACCGGCGAGCCCTGCGCCGACATCAGGACGTTTGAGCACCGCATGCCGCTATTAAAGAGCCTGCTGGAACCGCAACTCAGAAGGTGTCGAAATCGATGAGAGTTGCGTCGTGCTGCCACCCCAATAAATGTGGCAAGTTCAACAACCTGCAGAGCGATCCATCCCGTTTCGCCGGGCGCGCCGTACTTGAACACAAGCTTGTACTTCAGTATTGATTGGTCCCCCGCGCTCGCTCTTCGGGACATACATCAATCGACCATTACTACGTGCAGAGGTGAGATGCGCGTGCAGAGAGCTGGGCAGGGCTGGGCAGCTGCTGCAGGGCGCGCTGCTTTCGCTCTGACTCCTTGCGAACTCACTGGCAGAGGACCCTAAATAATCGGCACCCCCAACTCCTTTAGTTCATAATGCGTGCGCTAGCAGCGCTGCAGAAGCTGCTCTGCCCTGCCCCGCTCGCGTAAAGATGCCCACTCGGGACAGCGGTCCAACCAGCGCTGCCCAGCGCTGGGCAGAACGGTCCCACTGACCAGTGTTGCTCAGCACCCCGCGGGCACTGCTGGGCAGCGCTGGTCACCGCCGCCGCTCCAGCGCTATGTAGGGGCGCCCTTTAAAGGGGCGCTTGTGTTACAGTCACCCCGCTATGATAGGCCGCGTGAGCAGACCTTGGGCAGGGGGCACACGTGATCAAGGGGCATCAAGAGAGGGGGTGGACCATGGAGCACCCTCTCCATGGCTCCGACCACCCTCCCCCCAGCTGAGCGTCCCAGGGTCACCCCACCCTGGCCCCGCTCCCCGTCCTGCCGGACACGCAACCCCCACAACGTGGTGGGGGACGTGGGGATCCTTAGCAGCTTAGGCCTGCCAGGCCGACGGGTGCCGATGCTGGTGCGGGCTCCCGGCGGCAGGCAGCGCCGCCGCCGGGCACTCAAATGGCATGGGGCACATGGGCCCCCATGCCCGCACATCTCCCAGGCACATGAAAATACCAGAAGGCTGCACATGTAAGGGTGCATGCATTGCAGGCAGGAGTGCAAAGTGGCCTGCCGCGGCGGTCGGCTGTGCCATTACTCAGTCAGCCGCCGCTACCGTGCCGGGCTTGGCGTTCCCATGCCAACATGCCGGCGTGCCATCGCGCAAGGGGCCAGTGAGTGTGTGAGGTGGAGGTGNGGGGTGTGGGGCTNCCGCTGACCGNTGCTTGCTGACGCTGACGCTGCTCTTACCTGCGGGGGGAGGGGGTGGGTCGGGAGC